TCTCAATATTTAGATTGTTTTGCACCCTCAGATTCCAGATTTTCAAACAGTTGTATCTCGGCCAAATATTGTCCTATACTTCACTGGAAAGCTTATTTATTCAGCTTTCAGATGATACATAAATCTCAATTTCAAATTGACCCTTATGACTGGTTTTGTGGTCCAGGGTCACATATAATTTATATTTTATATAAATAGATTTAATATAAAACATTTTACTTACATATATTCATGCATGTGTGTGTATTTATATATACATAATGAATATACACAGTACACGCACATATTATGTAAACCAAAACGTATTTTGGAAGCAACTAATCGCGATTAATCGTTTGACAGCACTACTCCCCGTGCGGTTTGTGCCGAGAACACTGTTTTGTGCGTGCAATCATTTACAAACACTATTGTCCCGTTCTGTCTTTGTCATGTTTTGTACGATATTAAGTTGTTGTATTGAGTTGCTACTTGAATCCTGAAGTAAAAACAGTTGGAAAGCACCAAACTAAAAACCATCTGCAGTGTTTGAAGACATTCGGGTAATGTTCAGATGTCTTTACTTACTGTATTTTGGGTCCAGCACATGATCTGCTTATAAACAAAAGCAAAACCAGCAGAAACCTCTTGATTCATTTTAAACCCTTAAAGCTTAAAGCTCAGACTGTTCCTGCTGGATATCAGTGCTATAAGAGCCGATGAATGAAGTCACTGTTAGAGCCGTACCATCATCACATCACTGATGTTTTGTTCTCACATCTCTCTTTTAAACTTGCGGAAGTCTCCAATGTTAACCCAATGATAACCATGCCATTTTCAGTTAAATAGGTTAACATGGCGAGTGTGGTACCACCATTGACCTAGTTCTCTCTCAAAACCCTGAGGGAGCGCACACACACACACACACTCTCTTGCGCACACACACACACACACACAGAGCGACATCTGACCACAATGTATCCCAGTTAAAGCATCTCAGATGCTTCAGAATAAACGCAGTGAGATTAAACTTCAGTCCCGCGCCATTTAAACCAGATTAGGATCATTTACTAACAGCTTTCTCAAACATGGACCCTCAACACACTTTTAATTAAATTCTTCGACCAAAATTGTTGTTATTTGATCAGTGTCTAATATCAGCTGATATTAAAACCAAATAAAATCAGGGCTCATTTTTCTCATTGCTTATACAACAAAATATGACTGTTTTCAATAGTATGCATCTGATATAAATTTTTCTGTTAAACATTAAAATGATTTGATGTTGGGTTTACTGTGTGTTGTAGAGTCTGATAGAAGAGCAGCAGCTGCATCAGTACGAGCACGCCGCTGGACAGTGTGTGAATGAACTGCAGCAAGCGCAGCTACAGCTGGAGTCTCTGCAGAACCAGATCCACGAGAGTGAGACCAGCAACCAGGTAACAGAGCTACATTACCCACAATACCCAACAACCAGCAGAATACTGTCTCCTTAGAGATCACATTATATGTGTGCGTTTTTATTTATTTCTGCATTTATATCTGGCAGAGAGAGATGTGAGGGTTGATCGGTGTGTGTTTGTTTCTTGTGACTCAGGTGCTGCAGGAGAAACTGTGTGAGATGGAGTCAGAGCTCCGGTCCATCAGACAAGCTGCTCAGAACCAAGAGAGAACCATCCAGAACCTCACAGACAGCCTGAGAACTAAAGACACAGAGGTCATTACACACACATCACAAAAGAAACATCTGTATTCTGCAGTTCTTCCCTGTTGTACCGAATATCTATACTTTTCAAATGATCACATCGAAGTTAGAAATTCAAATATTGTGACAAAACTAATTTTGTAGGGTGCCACAAGTTTCTTAAAATTCCCAAAGGGTGCCGCGACTGAAGAAAGGTTGGGAAACACTGCTCTAGTGCATGTGAACAATGTGTTTCCTTCTCCTAACCCGTCAGTAACTGAGTGATTCAGTCGAAAAGAAAGTTAAGGAGTCTCTTAAGATAAATTCTGAAAATATTCCTAAATGCAATTATTAAAAATGCATAAAAGTTCTAAAATAAATAAATAAAATATTTAAAAATATATTTTCTTAAGAACATTTGTGTTGGTGAAGTAGTTGACAGGGCTAACATGTTATCTGAAATGTTTGCTAAAGATTCAACGTTGATCAACTCCATAAACTCAATACAAAAATAAATAAAATAACACATCTCAACAGCTTTTCGATTGAAGTTCAGGTTTGTAATGTGCTGTGTATTTAAAGTTGTTATTTGTAAAATTCTGTCAGTAGACGGCGAGATCTGTTGTTTTTAGTTACTGTATCTGTGCTGTATGATTGGCTTGATTAAGAAGTATAAAGAAACGGGTTCCTTATCTGAGCAGATATTTTGAAGAATGTGGGTCACCAAACAGTTACTGGTCGCGTTGACTTCTATTGTATGGAAATAATGATCATTTTAATTTTTGTGTGAACTGTCCCTTTAATTATGATGATTTTTAAGAACATTCTTTTCAGGAATTCTTCATAAGTTTTAGCATTAGAACAATCTTAAGAAAAGATAAGAACATTCTTAAGTAATGTTTTTTTTACTACTAAATATTCTAATAAATTTATTAAGTTACAAAATAAAAGTAAACTAGCAATTAAGAAGAATTTATTCTTAAGAATGTTTTGTGAATCCAGTCCTTGTTCATTCCAGTTCTCAGTCATTGTTTTCTTCTCTGTGTGTGTGTGTGTGTTTGTGTCCCCACTTGTGTGTGTTTGTGTGTCCTCACCTGTGTGTGTGTGTTTCCCAACCTGTGTGTGTGTGTGTTTGTTCTCACCTGCATGTGTTTGTGTGTGTGCTCACCTGTGTGTGTGTGTGTAGACTCAGGAGCTGTACCGCGTGATTGAGGGCCAGAACAACACACTGCGTAAAATCACAGAGACCCACCAGCAGCAGCTGCAACACACACAGGTGAGCACACACACACACACACACACACATTGAAGCTGTGATGTTGGTGTTGCTAGCATCATGCTGCACTGTTTGCTCTGCAGCAGCTCCTGATGAATGTTTCCCTCTGTTTCTCTTTAGACTCCAGAGGGCGGCGTGGACTCAGGTTTGGTTCTGGGCTCCCAGAGTTCTCTGTTCTCGTGTCAGCTGGAGTTGGAGGCGAGTCAGCGCGCTCACAGACTGACTCAGAGACGTCTGGAGGATCTGACGCGAGAGCGAGAGCGACTGCAGAACGACTTCCAGGAGGCGCTGCAGCACAGAGACGTCAGCCACAAACACAACCAGGTGAGTCTGCTTTACCTGCACGCTGAACCCAGCTAATCTCACCGTGATGTGATAACAGGTGTTTTCCAGCACACCCAAGTGCTGCAGATGTCACTGTTATTTGTTATATGAGGCGCTGCTTTCATTTTGCCTCGATGTGAAACACTTATTGGTGATATTTGTGAATGAAGCAGAATATGAACTGATATTAGTATTTCATGTTTTGTCGTGTTTTTAGAAATCATGTCATGACTACATGACGGTCCTCAGTCCTGTAAATATAATGTGAACACGATCTATAGACAGTCAGTGAGAGTTTTGGAGCAACACCAGAAATAGAAGATGAGACAATAGGAATGTTTTGGAAACCATCATAGTTTCTGTGATTCTGAGTGTGTGTGTGTGTGTGTGTGTGTGTTACAGGAGCTGCGTGAGATAGTTGAGCAGCTGCGGTCTGAGCTGCAGGTCAAAGTGTGTGAGCTGAGAGATTGTGAAGCCTCGACTCGCTCAGAAATCACTGACCGAGACAAAAGCATGGCACAGCTCCAGCAGAGCTTATGCCGCAAAGACGTGCTGCTGCAGGTTACTCTCTCCTTCATACTGTAATGCAGACGGGACCTTTCTTGTGGTTTTTGTCAAACTTCAGCTGTGTTTTTCTTCCAGGAGTATGCAGAGCTGCAGAATGACTCGTGTGACTTCAGCGGCCGCGAGGACAGAGATGCACTGCTGCAGACGCTGAGGAGCCGCATCCGAGACAGAGACGCCGCACTGGAGGTGTGTCATCCATCACATCTATTCTGTCCTGTCTGGGTCTTGTAGCCCCACCCACAGTTACATTTTATTTTTTAAAATAAATGAGTTAGGTAGCTCTAATTAAAATCAAATATGTTCTGATTGGCTGAGCCTTGAAATAATGGAAGCCTTCAGTTCAGTTCTGTCCTGGTCCTGGGGACCCATTGCTCTGCACATGTTGTGTGTCTCCTTTATTTGACTCACCTGATTCAGATCATCAGCCATGAACTGAGCTGAGTGTGTCAGATAAGAGAGACATACAGAATGAGCAGAGCTGCAGGATTGAAAACCCCTGTGCTATTCACACTGTTAGTGCATCTGTGTAAATACTGGTGTCACGTGATAGTGATGTGATGAAACGTCTATTGGTGAGTGTTAAAGCTGAGTGTGTGTTTGTGCGTGATTCCTCAGATCGTGTGTGTGCTGCTGCTCAAGTGATCAGATGCACCACTTTCCTTTTCTTCTGGATGTCTAGCTGAAATCTGTGTTGTGTTTCAGCGCTCAATCGATGAGAAGTTCCGCTGTCTGGAGGAGAAGGATGGTGAGGTGCGTCGACTGCAGCTGGTGCTCCGCGAGAAGGACCGAGACCTGGAGAGAGTGCGCTGCGTCCTCGACAACAACAACGACACCATCACGGTATGTGTCACGACCTGCGCTAATGCACACACTGTCTGCTTAAGTGTGTCTGAACTCTGAACTCTGTGTGTGCAGGGTTTGGATGCTCTGGTGCGCAGTAAGGATCTGGATCTGGAGAGAACACAGGAGAGCTGCCGGAAACTGGAGTGGATGAAACAGCAGAGCGATCAGAAACACACGCTCGCTGTACGGGAGAGAGACGGCATCATTCATCAGCTGCAGACGGCGCTGCGCTCACACAGCAGAGAGAGCGAGGTAACACACAAGCTAGGCTAGTCTCAAGCACCCTACAGCGGTGCTTTCTGTCTGTTCAAAACATCTGATCACCTCATGAACACAAGCAGCAGGATCTCCGCTTGACTGCTGTTTACATTTCTGCATTCAGCAGACGCTTTTATCCAAAACTACTTGTGTTACATTCAGGGAATGTACTTTATCGGTCGCATTCAAACCCGCGCCACTGCTGGCGTTATACTCTACTGGAACGCGTGTCTCGATCATAGCTTTGTATCTGTTTGAACCCTTGTTTCCCGTGCACTGATATAAACGTGCACAGAAATGTCTGAAGGATGCGTAAAAGCAGCCAATCAGAATAGAGCTTGTAATTTCAGCAGCTCATGGCATTTAACTTCATGGCGGTTAACGCTACACACACTGACACACACACCAACCACACCTGCTCTGTGTTTGCAGGAGCTCAGGTCAGTGTTGCTGGGAGAAGTGTCCTCCACTGACGTGCTCCAGGAGCTCCAGTCCCATCTGTCCGTGAAGGAGCGTCTGTTTCAGGAAGTGATGTCAGACCGCAGCCGGCAGACGCAGGAACACCACAGACAGCTGACGGAGCTGCTCCACACCATCAGCTCCAGAGATCAGGACATGAAGGTGCAGCTGATCGTCAGGAACACACTTCATAACTGTCTGCTGGCTGGTTTCTTTATCATGTTTGACGTGTTCTGGTCTCTCAGGATTATGGCCAGCGGTTGGGCCGGGTGATTTCCGAGCGATCGGGTCAGTTGCAGGAGTTGCGCCGACAGCTAGCGTCACGAGAACAGGAGCTGAATGACGTGAACAGGCAGCGAGAGAAAGATGTTTCTGCGTCCAGAGAGCTGCAGAGACTTCAGAACGTTCTCAAGGAGAAAGACGCCTTTATACAGGTCAAACACACACACACACACACTCTCACACACACACACACACACTCTCACACACACACAGTCAAACACACACACACACACACTCTCACACACACACACACACACTCTCACACACACACACACACACACTCTCAAGGGAACCTCATGAAGGACGTGCCTTTATAGCTGTTCGGTGAAAGAGAATCAGACTAAATAAAAACAAACTGACATTTTTCTCATTTAAAATGTCCTTTTTCTCATTTAAAATTTCAATTTGCAATTTCAAGTTTTCCTTTGACTTTGGAGTGTTACAAGCTGTTTGTGCATATATAAGATCCGTAAAGTTGCAAAGACTAAAGTCTCAAACTAGGGTTGCTGCCATAGATGGTGTTGACGGTTTTACCGGTGTGAAGCCGCAACACCGGTTATGTCAGTTGTCCACTGCGGCACCGCCCCTCCGTCATTTAGATTTTTTATAGTAATAAAAATCATTTAGTTCAGTTAGAGCACAGACACTACAATTAAAAATGAACGTGGCTGCTCAGTGCAGCGTGCCGAACAACAGTTGCATCACAGATCAGATTTCATTTATCATGTGAGGAGAAGCTGACAAGAAGAGTGAGGTGAGACAGACGAGACGAGATGATGGCAGAAGAGTTTCAAAAAGACATGCAAAAGCGCCTGTTTTAAAAATATTTTGGATTTTGAAAAGCCTGTTGTCTTTTGCCATTTATCTAAGGTTTTATTGGAAGTTTTTTTAAACATTTGTTTCTTATTTATTTGATTCCACAGTGTTTGCTGATTTTTATTTATTTAAACTGTGTTATTATTATTATAATTTTTTACACTGTGCGCCAATGTACCGCGGTAATGATGGGCTGCGCGTCAGTGTACCGTGGTAATGATGGGTGTACCGTGGTAATGATGGGCTGTGTGTGTGCAGGAGTTACTGCGGGGTCCGAGTGAGATGTTGAACTCCACACCAGCACCAGCTCAGGGTGAGTTTCACTGCGGTACCTCCCACATTTGATCAATTAAAATTATTGATTCACTTCATTCTGTGTGTGTGTGTGTGTTTATGGTGAGCAGCCGTGTGTACGAGCAGCTCAGTTGATCTGGATGTACAAGCCATCAGAGATGAACTACAGCTGACCCTGAAGAAAGACAGAGAGACTGAGGTAAAACACACACACATATCATCTACATCATGTACACACATGTAGATCATGTAATTTTTACCTAGTTTTCACTTCTCTGTCTGTGTGTGTGTGTTTAGCGGGAGCTCTCAGAGATGCGCTCGGTTCTGGCTGCAGGGCATTACGACACATCAAGCTCTGATCGGCAGGTAACATCATGAGACAGCATGTGTGTGTGTGTGTGTGTACTTGCGTTCACTCTCTCTGTGTGTGTGAGTGCGTGTGTGTGTACTTACGTTCTGTGTGTGTGTGTGTGTGTGTCAGTGTGTCCTGCAGCAGCTCGTGTCGGAGCAGCAGGCGCTGAATGAAGCTCTGAGAGCAGAGAAGGGTGTTTATGAGAAGCTCAGACGTGTCCAGAGTCAGGACGACAGGTCAGAACTCCAGCACACACTCACACTGTGTTCTATGTTAAAATCCATCACTCATGATGCTGATCTGTGTATGAATGTGTTCTTGAAACTGTGCCATTTTTGAGTAGTTCAGGAAAATTCACTCACTGTCGTGACTCTCCAGATCCGTTTCTTCTAAGGATCTTAAACAATCTGCTGTAGATTTTTATGTATTTGTGCTTCTGCACAAGTATAGGCGGACCTAAGCATAATGGAATATTTGAAGGATTAAATATGATACATGTCCGGTTGAAACCAAAGTTTTTAAATGCATGTAAATGCACCCAATAACAAAGGTCTGTCAAACTCAAAATGATAAATACACAGAGTGGCAAATCGTCCATATGATATGACTCATGCATTCAAAGTCTTCTGAAGTCATATGATACTTTGTGTGAGGAAGAGACTGATATTAAACCAATTTATCGCTGAAAACATCTGTCTTTGCTGAAGCTTTCAGATCTCACACTCAAACCTGTGCATCATGTTTCACATGATATCAGCAAGTGCAAACATCTGCTTTTGTGTTCCACAGAAGGAAGTCAGTCATGGAGCGAGTGCGTGTTGACAGAATGTTCACTGTTGTCTGAACTCTTGCTTTAAGAGCTGAAGAGCTGTGTGTGAGTGGTTCTGTTCTGATGTGTCTGTGTCGTTAGCAGCGCTGAGAAGCCTGGAGCGCTGCACGCCGAACTGGACTCGCTTCAGGCGCTGCGCCAACAGCTGGAAGAAACCCTGACGAGGGCCCGCGAGACGGCGCTGGTGCTGGATCGGGCTGCGCTGATCCAGACCGACTATGGAGGTGGGACACGGCAGAGGCGCTAACTCTGAATGGACCGCTAGCTCATCGCTGAAATGCTTGTGCGCTAGTCGAGCATTAGGACACATAACCAACCAGAACTCGTGTGTGTGTGTGTGTGTGTGTGTGTGTGTGTGTTTTATCCATTCATCCAGATGATGTTTGTGTGTGTTGATGTTCTGTGTACTGTCTGCCTCATTCATGAATTTGAGTTCCAGAAACGCCTTTATGGTCCATTTGAATTACACAGCCACATTTTCTGAGACCAAACGCATCAGATCAAATGTAGAAGCAGACTGTTCTTTGACTTGTGTGACACCGCATGCACTGCATGTCAGAGCAGCAGGAGCTTGGCTTTGTGACTTTAAGCACTTCAAGCCCATTTTCTGTGACTCAAACTGTACGGGCTGATATTCTAGTGCCAAATGGAGCTTATTTTGATGCATCATTTAGCTTGGTTCTTGTTTATGGAAATATGAAATCTATTTAATCTACTTCAAACTGAAAAGAAATAAATGTAACCAGATTTCTTGGCCGGAATCTTTTGTATTTTAGTTATTTACATTTACATTTAGTCATTTAGCAGACGCTTTTATCCAAAGCGACTTACAAATGAGGACAATAAAAGCAGTCAAAACTAACAAAAGAGAGTGTTTGTTTGTTTTTTTTAATAAAAATAAATAAATAAATAAATAAAAAGAAGATAAATATAGATCAAGTTGAATTAAAATAGAATAGAAAGTGCTAGAGTTAGAGGGTCACATAAAGGTGGAACAGATGTGTTTTTAGTCGTTTCTTGAAGATGGTTAAGGCTCAGCTGCTGGGATTGATTTGGGTAGGTCACTCCACCAGGAGGGAACAGTTAGTGTAAAAGTCTGTGAAAGTGATTTTGTGCCTCTTTGAGATGAACAATAACACGCCGTTCACTTGCAGAACGCAAGCTTCTAGAGGCACATAAGTCTGAAGTAATGAATTTAGGGAAAGGGGTGCAGAGCCAGTGGTGGTTTTGTAGGCAAACATTAATGCCTTGAATTTGATGCGAGCAGCTACTGGTAGCCAGTGCAGAATGATGAACAGAGGTGTGACATGCGTACTTTTCGGCTCATTAAAGATTAATCTTGCAGCAGCATTTTGGATTAATTGTAGAGGTTTGATAGAAGTGGCTGGAAGACCTGCCAAGAGAGCATTGCAATAGTCCAGCCTGGACAGAACAAGAGCTTGAACAAGGAGTTGTGAAGCATGTTCTGAAAGAAGGGGCCTGATCTTCCTAATGTTGTATAAAGCAAATCTGCAGGACTGGGCAGTTTTAGCAATGTGGTCTGAGAAAGTCAGCTGAGCATCAATCATAACTCCAAGGTTTCTAGCTGTTTTTGAAGGAGTTATGGTTGATGAGCCTAACTGGATGGTGAAATTTTGATAAAGTGATGGGTTTGTTGAAACCACAAGCAGTTCTGTCTTGGCAAGGTTGAGTTGAAGGTGATGGTCCTTCATCCAGCAAGAAATGTCTGTTAGACAAGCTGAGATGTGAGCAGCTATCGTCGGATCATCAGGATGGAATGAGAGGTAGAGTTGAGTGTCATCAGCATAGCAGTGATATGAAAAGCCATGTTTCTGAAAGACAGAACCTAGAGATGCCATGTAGACAGAGAAGAGAAGTGGTCCAAGTACTGAGCCCTGAGGCACCCCAGTAGCTGGATGTTGCGACTTGGACACCTCACCTCTCCAACCTCTTTTTGTTCATTATCTGTTTTGAACAGTAAGAAATAATTTTGAAGTAGGATAGGCGATTCCTCCAGGACACTCACTTTCCTCAGATTATTAGAACATAAACTAAAGCTAATATTTATTTGAGATGTAAACATCACAGGTGAGTATGTGAGCTGGAGTTTTCCACAGAAAAACCTCTTCGTAGTGTTCATTGTCATTTAATTTCCACTAATATTGAAATGTTTTTTTAACCATTGAACAGTCTGATGATAATTAACCAAACAAACTCATTCACACGTGCATGTAAAGGCATCACATGTCTGCATGGCTCTGACTTTGTGTGGTTTGATGACAATATGCAGATTTAAACCATCAGCAAAATTAGAAAATGAAACATCTCATGAAACACCAAAGAAACCAGATCTGCTGTTAAACTGGTCCTGATCAATAAGCTGCAGGACACACACTGTAAATCACAGCTCCTCACGGCTCACACACACTCTTTCATGAAATCCTCCGACGGTGTAATCGTCATCCTCACGCCTCACACTACACTCTGATCACGCCAGATTTCTTTGGACTCCGTGAGGGACAGGATATAATGTTACACTTCTGCTTTTAATAAATAATCAATCACAAGTAATAATGTAATGTGGACACTGTCCTCCATGTCTCTGCAACATTTCATACCTGCAGCTTAAGTTTGTCTTTGAATCGAGTCTAAGGCTTGATCTGACATGTAGACTGTTTCGGCTGAGCATCTTTGAGTCATGAATCTGCTGGTCAGAGTTCACCGTATGTTTGCTTCCTGTTTTTTGTTGTAATGGTGGCCATTACATGTGGGAAAATGTGTTAGAGTTAACGGATGCTTTGTGAACCTGCGAACTCTTAAATTAGCCAAGCAGAAGTGACTTTATTACACCGTCTTTGGCTCCTTGTACTGTTATTAATATAAAACACTTCATCTATATTTATCTGTCCTGCATGATACTGTACAAATGTTCCTTCCATACAGTTAATCACATTATCAGCTTTATACACATCTGAAAGGCAATGTTTCGTAGACTCCATATGACTCCAATACTCCTTCATTACGAGTGTTACTGAAGGTGGAATAAACCGCAGTAAATCACAGTTTGATCTCTAGTGTCACAACATTCACAAACAAACTGAAGCAGCAGATTCCAGCGAAACGGGTTAGTGAGAGTTTCATGATCTAGCAGTACTACAGTAATCTTTCCTTCTTTCGCTCTCTCTCTCTCTCTGATACTGTAGTTTCTGGACTTTTATGTCAACTCAGGTTATATAACCAGAATAAGAGAGCAGAATGTGACTTTAAAGGGACAGTCCACCCAGAAAAGATTATTCTTTTATTTACTCAACCTTTATGTCATTTTAAATCTTTATGACTGATTTGTTTCTGTGGAACAAAAGAAGATACTTAGAGAAATGATGGGGTACAAATAACATTAAATCCCATTGATCTTTATGGTATGGAGAGAAAAATATGTGACCAATATGTTCTTTTGTGTTCCTCTAACGAAAGTCATACTGGCTTGCAACAACAGAGTGAGTAAATGATGACAGGATGTCTGTTTTTGTGTGAACTCTCCCTTTAACATTCAGTGTGGGAGTGATGATGAAGGAAGGAAGGAAAAGCAGCTGGACTGACAGACGTTGAACAGACTGGCTGTGATTCGGCTCTGGAAACAGACAATCAGAGACAACAGAGAGACAGACAGAAATATAAGAAAGAGATGTAAGAAGAGGAGTCTTAGTGTCTCTCTTGTTTCTTTCTAGAATCCAGCAGTGATGAAGATGAAGACGATCGTGACAGCAGCAGCAGTGAGGAGTTCCCAGACAGCATAGAGGACGATGAGATCAAACTGACGGCTCAGAGTCTGACGAGCGCGCAGGTAAGAAGAAGAACAAACACTGTAATTCAGAGTGTTTTCTGTCAGCGTCTCCTGAAGCTCAGGGTTTGAACTTCTGTTGCTCATCTGTGGTTCAGACCTTTCCATTTTTGGACCAGATGAAGGCCACAGCTCCTTCAGATTATAGGAGTTACTTTAAAGATGCAGCTGCAACAAAATACTTTTTGTTTTATGGTTTTAATTTCACGTCTGTAGCTTGAAGCTTCTTCATCTCCAATACTAGCAATACTTGTAAAAGCCAATGTCTTTAACTCATATACACATTTAAGAATCTGAAATATAATATTCTTTAGAAATTGGCTGTTTCCTTGGATGTGTTCCACCTGACTTCCTGTGTCAGCAGGAAATGCATCAACAGGCATTGGAAACAAAAGGGCGCTTTTGTTTCATGGAGTCTTTAGCATTTGTTTGTGGTTAGCGTATCTCAGAGTTCACTGTGTTCTCCTGACAGAGAGCTGAGGAGTTCGGCAGGGAGCTGATGTCTTGCAATGCATCAGAGCAGAGAAACCAAGATGAAAGTGAGTCGGGCTGCTCCTCACTCGCTCGGTCCAGGTACCAAATCCATCACCTTCAGATCGCTTGTGTTTGCTGGCGTCTTCCTGCTCTGATGTAATCGTATCTCTCGCAGGAACGCTCTGAATGAAGACGAGTCTGGATTAGCAGCGGATAAGGAGGAATCTGTCAGGTGTCGAGGGTCGGAGAAGCGTGAAACAGAAAGGCCAAACTCCCGTGAGCCTCAGAGAGTTTACCGTACGTTCCAAGAGGAGGAGGAGGAAGAATATGATGATGAAGATGGAGAGGAAGGGGAAGATGTAAGGGGCCCTCAGGGCAAGCGTGGGCCCCCGAGTGTGAAGCTGCGGGAGGGGAGGTGGAAGAGGAGGTGCACCAGACCTCATTCCCTGGACCTCGGAGCTCTGCTGTCTCACAAACCTGCAGCCCAGCACACAGTTCAGGTGATGCATCATTAGCCAAATAACTAGCACTGGTTAACACTAACCAGCTTCATTTTCATACAGCAAAGTACAGACTGTTGTACTAAAGAATTCAGGTAAGAACAGTGGGTTTGTGAAGGATTCTGTGTTTGTTTTGTGATCAGGATGTAAGAATGAAACGGGTCGTGGGTGACAGCAGCGGTTTGAGCCCAGGAGGGAGTGGAGCCATCGGCTTCTGGCAGCACGTGGAGGTAGGGCTTCGGGAGCAGGCGGAGCGTCTCCGTAGCGACCTCGCCGTGAGTCGTCAGGAGAGCCGCGAGCTGCAGGAGAGACTGATGGTGTCAGAGGCAACGGTGCAAGCGCAGGCAGAACAACTGAAAGACTACAGAGAGCTGCTGAGTGAGGAGACACACACATACATACACTATACTTACACGCACAGACACACACACACACATCAAGTCACCATTATTTATATAGCGCTTTTTACAATGCAGATTGTGTTAAAGCAGCTTTACAGTATTAAACAGGGAAATAGTGTGTCGAAATAGTGTTCTGTTCTCCTCTGGCCAGACTAAACCAGCAGTTTAATTCTAGGCTGCAACAAAGTCAGGTTGTGCAGAGGACTCATCTGGTTCCTGTGGTCTTGTCCCGGTGGCCAAGACAAGGTCTTTGGAGGAGATCTGTCTCTGGGGCTCATCTAGTTGTCCTGGTCTCTGCTGACATTCAGGGCTGTAGAAGTCATCTCTAGGTGCTGATCCACCATCTGATCTGGATACAGACTGGATCTGGTGGCTACGGTGACCTCGGAATAAGAGAGAAACAAACTAATATTATTGTAGATGCCATTCTTCTAACGATGTAGCAAGTACATCGGGTGTTATGGGAAGTGTTCCCGGTTCCGATTGTCCTAATTAATGCAGCCTAACAATCCTTTAACGGATTTGAATAATAGAAATGTGTTAGTGTGTTATGTGAAAGCCAGGTTAAAGAGATGGGTCTTTAATCTAGATTTAAACTGACAGAGTGTGTCTGCCTCCCGAACAGTGTTAGGTAGGTTATTCCAGAGTTTGGGCGATAAATAGGAAAATGATCTGCTGCCCGCAGTTGATTTTGATATTCTAGGTATTATCAAATGGCCAGAGTTTTGAGAACGCAGCAGACGTGGAGGACTATAATGCAATAAGAGCTCGTTCAAATACTGAGGTGCTAAACCATTCAGGTCTATATAGGTAATTAGCAAGATTTTATAATGTATACGATGTTTAATAGGGAGCCAGTGCAGTGTTGACAGAACCGGGCTAATATGGTCATACTTCCTGGTTCTAGTAAGAACTCTAGCTGCTGCATTTTGGACCAGCTGGAGTTTGTTTATTAAGCGTGCAGAACAACCACCCAATAAAGCATTACAATAATCTAACCTTGAGGTCATAAACGCATGGATTAACGTTTCTGCATTTGACATTGAGAGCATAGGTCGTGATTTAGATATATTTTTGAGATGGAAAAATGCAGTTTTACAAAATGTTAGAAACATGGCTATTGAAGGAAAGATTGCTAACAAATAGCACACCTAGGTTCCTAACTGATGACGAAGAATTGACAGAGCAGCCATCAAGTGTTATATAGTGTTCTAGGTCATTACATGTGGAGGTTTTTAGTCCTATAATTAACACCTGTTTTTTCAGAATTTAACAGTAAGAAATTACTAGTCATCCATTTCGACTATGCATTCCTTGAGTTTTGCAAATTGGTATGTTTCGTCGGGCCGTGAAGAAATATAGAGCTGAGTATCATCAGCATAACACCGTGTTTCCTGATGATATTCCTGATGAGATCTCCCAAGGGTAACATGTAAAGCGTGAAGAGTAACGGCCCTAGTACTGAGCCTTGAGGTACTCCATACTGCACTTGTGATTGATATGATACCTCTTCATTCACTGCTACGAATTGATGGTGGTCAGATAAGTACGATTAGAACCATGCTAATGCACTTCCTCTAACGCCAACATAATTTTCTAGTCTATTCAAAAGAATGTTGTGGTCGATAGTGTCTAATGCTAAGATCCAGTAGCACTAATATTCAATTCAATTCGAGTTTATTTGTATAGCGCTTTTCACAAAACAAATCATTGCAAAGCAGCTTTACAGAAAATTAAGTTTCTACAATATATTTAGTAGTAGCTTGTCAGTGGTGACTGCCAAATTGATGTACATATGGCAGAAATGTATGGTAAAATTCAGGTAATGACGTAATCAAACAGACGATGAACACTATTTCCAGCAATGATTATATGTTGCAATCAAACTGGGATGTCAATCTCAGCAGAAACAGAGAAACAAATAGAGAATATAATTAGCGTAGCTGCTGTTCCAACCAAGCAAAATTTATTTGTTTAACACAAGCTAAAGAATAATAATGTGCATTTGATCAGATATAACTGCAGTACAAGATTATGAGATGCATTATTTGAATGCTTGGCCAAAGAGATGTGTCTTTAATCTAGATTTAAACAGAGAGAGTGTGTCTGACCCCCAAACGTTATCAGGAAGGCTATTCCAGAGTTTGGGAGCCAAATGTGAAAAAGCTCTACCTCCTTTAGTGGACTTTGCTATCCTAGGTACTACCAAAAGTCCAGAGTTTTGCGACCTTAGGGAGAGTGATGGATTGTAGCGTGGTAGAAGACTAGTTGGGTACGCAGGAGCTAACCCATTAAGGGCCTTATAGGCAAGTAATAATATTTTGTAACTGATACGGAACTTAACAGGTAGCCAGTGCAGAGACTGTAAAATTGGGGTAATATGATCATATTTCTTGACCTGGTAAGGACTCTAGCTGCTGCATTTTGGACTACCTGTAGCTTGTTTATTGAAGATGCAGGACTAATAGAGAGATACAACCACGATCGGATGATAAGAGCAGGTAATTTGTAACTCTAATGAGAGCAGTCTCAGTACTATGACACGGTCTAAATCCTCACAGATACCATTTTTCTCTAAAACGGAACAGTTGTGATGATACTACCTTTTCTAGTATCTTTGACAGAAAAGGGCTATTCGAGACACACAGACACACACCATACTTACACATATACACACACACACACACACTCACCCCTGTGATTTGTACTGATGGTTCTGTCTTTGTCAGCTGAGAGTGCTGTGCAGCAGGACAGTAAACAGGTGCAGGTGGATCTTCAGGATCTGGGATACGAGACGAGTGGCCGCAGCGAGAATGAAGCTGAGAGAGACGATGCCAGCAGCCCCGGTACACACACCTGACACACACTGGCAGTCATAAACACAGCAGCTCCAAACTAGTGCTTCTGTTTTCTGAAGGAATGAAAACCTTTTAAAAAGAGAAAAGTGGAACAATAAACATGAATGTGTGAAGGACTTTTGCTTTAATGACAGCAGCACTGGAGCTACATGAACAGAAGCTGATGATTATGTGACCCCACTGTACACAACACATCCAAATTTCTGCTGCATTCTGGGACACTGATGATGTGGTGTTTCTCAGTCTCAAATGTTTTGCACGTGATGAACATTCATGTGCTGATTGAAACTAGTGCCGCAGCTCAGCGCATGTTGTGTCCTTCTGTCGTCAGAGTTTGATGAGCTGGAGACGGGCGTCTCTCTCTCGGTTTCGGTGAGCAGACGCAGCGGCTGGAACGCAGACAGCGATGGTACGCAGACAGATGACCCATCCTCGCTGAAGCGTCTGGTGCAGGATCTGCATTCACAGCTCTCTCGCAGCCACAAAGTGATCCGCGGCCTGCAGCTGCGCATCCGCTCGCTCTCAAACACCTCCGACTACGCTTCCAGCCTGGAGCGCACGCCGCGCAAGGTAACGCACCAGTGACGTTAGCACTGACCTGTTAGTAATGTTACCGCCACCTCATCTGCAGAATCACTTCAGACTGATCATATTATACTTTGAAATGTCGCTATCAAATACTCGGCTGTGATTTGCCAGTCATTCTGTGGCCAAAATTGGTAATGACACCAAACTTTATAATTAATTGATTTCCTGCTGATTTCATGTTTTTTTTTTAATCACTCCTGTCTCTTACTTTGGTCTCTCCCTCAGATTAATAGTTAAAGTTCATTCATGTATTCATTAGATAAAGAGCCGCACAGGCCGGTGTGATGAGCTGTGTGTCTGACCCGTCAGGTGAACTGGGCGTTTCAGGTGAGCTCGGCTCACAGCTGGAGCTACATGAACAGAAGCTGATGATTATGTGACCCCACTGTACACAACACATCCAAATTTCTGCTGCATTCTGGGACACTGATGATGTGGTGTTTCTCAGTCTCAAATGTTTTGCACGTGATGAACATTCATGTGCTGATTGAAACTAGTGCCGCAGCTCAGCGCATGTTGTGTCCTTCTGTCGTCAGAGTTTGATGAGCTGGAGACGGGCGTCTCTCTCTCGGTTTCGGTGAGCAGACGCAGCGGCTGGAACGCAGACAGCGATGGTACGCAGACAGATGACCCATCCTCGCTGAAGCGTCTGGTGCAGGATCTGCATTCACAGCTCTCTCGCAGCCACAAAGTGATCCGCGGCCTGCAGCTGCGCATCCGCTCGCTCTCAAACACCTCCGACTACGCTTCCAGCCTGGAGCGCACGCCGCGCAAGGTAACGCACCAGTGACGTTAGCACTGACCTGTTAGTAACGTTACCGCCACCTCATCTGCAGAATCACTTCAGACTGATCATATTATACTTTGAAATGTCGCTATCAAATACTCGGCTGTGATTTGCCAGTCATTCTGTGGCCAAAATTGGTAATGACACCAAACTTTATAATTAATTGATTTCCTGCACAGCCGTGCTGATTTCATGTTTTTTTTTTAATCACTCCTGTCTCTTACTTTGGTCTCTCCCTCAGATTAATAGTTAAAGTTCATTCATGTATTCATTAGATAAAGAGCCGCACAGGCCGGTGTGATGAGCTGTGTGTCTGACCCGTCAGGTGAACTGGGCGTTTCAGGTGAGCTCGGCTCACAGCGGTGCGGAAGAGGACGAGGGCTGGCAGTCAGACGGGCCGCTGAGACCCAGCCGCGAGCTGCAGGAGCTGGTGAGCCGCGTGACGCTGCTGGAGACGCAGATCAGGAACTCTGCACGCGAGGGAAAGAGCGGCCCGGAGGACGGGAAATGTGCCACCTGGCCCGGGTGAGGCGCTTTCAAGACACCCAACCCTGATTTTCTGCAGCGCTTTGTGCTATACAGATTGAGTCAAAGCAGCTTCACAGCAATAAACAAGAAAATAACAGAATCAGTGATGCAAACTTCATCAAATATAAAACAAATTCATTTTCAGCTGTCAAGCAGCTCTACAGAAGACAAGAGCGTCATTATTCTGATCAGGGTTCGCGGCATAAACACAGTCACCATATTAACTGTGTCTTAAGAATACGTTTGACCAGCTAGCAGTTAGAAAGAATCAGTCTTACATTTCAGATTCAGATTAGATCCATCTACCTTTTTTGTAACTGAATTTTAGTTGAACATAGTTTTGAACAATGTCCTGAGTCGTTGCTGGCCGCCGCCGGTGTGCATACATTCGTAGAAAACAATGTGTTTGAATTTTAAAGACGTGGCGCTGCTCTGCGCTTCTCGTCCGGTGTGCGACTGGCTTTAGAAGTTTATGCAACCTGCCACAGTTCAGTTCAGTTCAACAGCAACAGACATGCTGGACACGCAGCATAGATTTCTCTGTGTTACAAAAATCCAGCAAAGCACCACATTTTTTTTCCTCTTCCTGTTTGTACAGGAAGTACAACACACTGATCCAGGCACAGGCACGAGAGCTGTCACACCTGCGGCAGAAGATGCGAGAGGGCCAGGGCATCTGCCACATCCTCACACAGCACTTGAGTGACACGACCAAAGCCTTCGAGGAGCTGCTGCGTGCCAACGACATCGATTACTACATGGGCCAAAGCTTCCGAGAGCAGCTTTCCCAGAGTTCCTCACTCGCTCACAGAGTCAGCACCAAGATCAGTGGACGTGAGTGTGTGTGCACACACTCCTTACAAGCACTATCGGATCTTTTCTTTAAGTGTCTGCTGGTTTGTAAATATACAGTCCTTCACTAAATGTTTTCTTTGGTTGTCAGGTGATCGTTCAGAGCAGCAAGATGATAAAACGGGTCACGAGCTGCTAGCGCTGAGGTGAGCGTCTCCTCTGGAATAGAATATGCAGAAGTTCACTTCACTTTATTAATGACAGGTGGTCGTGTTCTTCAATAGGTTGAGTAAGGAGCTCCAACACAAAGATCAAATCATCGAGTCTCTCCACACCCAGTTACAGCAGCGTTCGGACACGCCCTGCAGCAGCCACGCCCCCTCCGAGACAACAGACCAATCAGACTGCACCTCGTTTGTGTCCAATGAGAGAGGATCTACCAATGAGGACGTGGACCTGTGCTCAGATATGGATGCTGCCAGTGAGTTTCCACAGGAGGAGCCCCGACCCAAAGACAGAGGTGCGAAAACCACCATGACACACACACACACACTCACGCACTCACACAATCAACACACACACACACACACAGTCAAACGAATCAATTGAATGAATGATTCAGTGATAAAATCAGTGATTTGCAGCGTATAATTTCAGTTATTTAAATCATATTTCTGTATTCAAAATTGTATATTTAAAACATTAATCTCCACATGAATTTATGACTTTAATTGCACTCATGCCACCTCTGAGCCTCATTGAACGTCTGAAAATGTACCTACAAGTCACTTTTGTGTTCTTCTGTGCCACCTCTGTAGTACAAATGAATTTATTAATACTAATTTCATATGATTGGTAGCTTATTTGTCTTATTCTACATATTGTTTTAAATAGAAATTTTAAATTTTGGACCAGAATTTGACAGATGAAAATGATGCCATTACAAAGGTTAAAAGAAAATACTCCTGTAAGTCACTTTAAGGAGTCAAATGTCACCTCGTATTAGGAAGGCTAATTTTTGATCAGAATTTTTAATTATTGATCAGAAGGTGCTCCTAAATTTTTTAATAAGAAGGATAAACGGCCCTGATTACAAGAAGACAAACACTGCTCTTAAACTGGGTGTGTGACAGGTATGGCTGAGCAATGAGGTTTGGTCGAAGAAAAATTTTCAGTCAAAAGATTTTTTATTTTTTTGCTTTAACCCCTGCAATATAATAAGAAGTAGAATAAGACAAATAAGTTATCAATCATATGAAATTAGTAATAATACATTACTTTGTACTACAGAGGTGGCACAGAAGAACACAAAAGTGGCTTGTAGGTACATTTTCAGACGTTCAATGAGGCTCAGAGGTGGCATGAGTGCAATTAAAGTCATAAATTCATGTGGAGATTAATGTTTTAAATATACAATTTTGAATACAGAAATATGATTTAAATAACTGAAATTATACGCTGCAAATCACTGATTTTATCACTGAATCATTCATTCAATTGATTCGTTTGACCGGCTGAATCATTCAGGAATGAAGCAAGTGACTGTCTTTATAAACTGACGGAAATCCGTCGTAGCGACGGAACTTTAATCCCTGCACACACACACGCGCGCACTAATGAGAATTACTGAATCTCACTCACACACTCACTCACTCACACACACAAGCTGATAGTGGACTTCAGCACAAAACAGGTGAGGAGATACCAACCCACTATGATCAATGGGGCTTCTGTGGAGAGAGTAGATAGCTTTTGTTACCTTGGAGTCCACATCTCACATTTGTCATGGACAAATCATATCACCACCTTGGTGAAGAAAGCCCGTCAGCGTCTTTACCACCTTAGGTGCTTGAAAGACTTTAAATTGTCTACCAAAGTGCTAAAAAATGTTTACACCTGCACTATTGAGAATATCCTGACAGGAAACATCACAGCCTGGTTCGGGAACAGCACAAAGCAGGACAGATGGGCCCAACAGAGGGTGGTGCGGTCAGCTGAGCTCATTATTCGCATTGAACTCCCTGACCTGGAATCCATCTACAGCAAACGATGCTGTACCAAAGCCAGGAAGATCATGAAGGACCTCAGCCATCCTAACAATGGTCTCTTTTCTCTGTTGAGGTCAGGGAAACGCTTTCGCTCCATGATGACTAAAACTGAGAGAATGAGGAGAAGCTTCTTCACACAGGCTATCCGTGTCCTGAACCAGGACAATGCCAACAAGATTTAGTTGCACTATACAACACCATATTAACATTATACTTCTTTTATTATTACAGACTGCACAAGCATAATTGCACTTTACTGCACATACACATACTGTCAGATTGTTGCTGTTACCATCTCTGTACTCAGAGATGTACTCACTCACATATTTTTGTACGTATATTCTCTATCTTTTTACTTGGTTAAATTTAAATTTTTTATTTTTTGCTGTAATTTTACTAATCTGTATTCTGTTTCTCTCTTTATTTATATTCTTTATTGTTAATTTCTTAGTTTAATTTCTTCTTATAGTATTTTGTAATTCTATTCACTATTCAACCTACAGTATTTCTTAGGATACAGTTTTTCTTTTCTTTCTCTTCTTATTACTACTTTTATCATATTAATTTTAATATATAGTCTATTGCATTCTGTGTGGAGAGTCGTACCAAGCGTTTCACTACGTCGTACTGTGTATGATTGTGTATGTGACTAATAAAATTTAACTTGAACTTGATTAAAATAAGAATCATAAATCAATAAGTAATACATAAAAAATGAGTACATGGATATGAAAATCAAGGAAAATATAAGAACATTGATTATTTGGATACACCATATGAGAGCATGTTGGAAATCTGGGATTGTTTTCATTTAAACATGAAAATGCACAACGTTTTGGGATTTCTGAGAATTCAAAACAAAGAAACCTAACATTTATTGAGTGACTCAGATCAGACTTCTGATTCTGGAAAACATGATCATCAGGTTTTGTTCATGTAGCTGCCATGCTGCTGTCATTAAAACAAAAGACAAAATAGAACTAAAAATAAAATCTGTGAACTTCACAGTCTGTTTCCTTCTGATCTCAGACTGTTAATGCGGCTGTCGCTCCCAAAACTTCACAGTGTGCGTTTTACCCAGACGTTAATGAAGATGATCTCATTGCTGTCGTCAGTCCAGTGTCTCCCCCTACAGGACACAGGAGAGTGCGACAGGTAGACAGTATGTCATTGACACACATAGAGACACATGCATCTGTGCTCCACCGTCTGCAGGTGTGTTCACAGGACTCTTGCCCAGCTCACAGCCTCTGATCCAAACCCAGAGCTGGCCTGCTCACGCTAACCCCATGACCTTTACCCCCCTGACCTGCCCTGACCCCGAGCGCAGGATCCTGACTGTCCCAGCACAGCGGAGGCCGCCCATGAGAAGTGAGCGCACAGCATGTGTTTGTCTCTGACTGACTAACAACTGCAGACTTACTGCCATCCCACAAACAGAAGCCACCAGGTTTCTGTTAAGGAGAGTTGAGGTCAACATCCTAAATCATTTATTTCAACTTCATTATGCATCACAAACTCCGCTGTGGGAATGATTTACTGCGTCTGGAAGACCCTCGTTTCAGCACAGATTATAGATTTGGAGATTCTCTCATGAATTGTGTTGGAAAAGTGACTAGGCATCATTCATTTCTTGACAGATTTTAATGTAGGCTTTTATTCATATGTAAACATTATTTCATTAATGAGAGGGCAGTGTTACCAGAGTTGCTCATATACCACACATGTTACACACAGTAGGGCTATTGCAGACAGAAACAATACTGTACTGCATCCATGTGTCCCGTCGGCTCAGTGTTTGAGTGGACTCTGTTCCGATGAGCACGAGCGGTACACGAGCGGAGCGACTGAGCGGAGCGCACACACACACAGAGCGGATAATACACAGAGCGTCACACCACGTGAAAGTGAATCCTGAGCGGTGAACTCATTTTCGGCAGCCGAAATTTCGGTGCATCTCTAATTATTGGCGACATCAGAAATGGATATTATATAATAGATGCTTTTTTGAACATTTTAGCAATTTAAAAATATAAAAAAATTATTATTTACAAAGCACCCCGGTTGGGAAACACCGGTTTAGAGACTCGTGTGTCCTGAAGGGAATTTCTGCTTCGCTCTTTCTCCAACAGCTTTCAGCGCTCCTCACTCGCTCTCCAGCTATCAGCTGACCGTGCATTCCATCGATTACACGCCTGTATCCCATCATGCACTGGGAAACAGTGGAGGCCCATCTCTGCAAACAGATGCATTGTGGGACATGGAGAATATGATTCAACCAGTTAGAGGTTTTGATGGATCATCTTATTATCAGTCTGGCAACAGCCAATCAGGTGTGTGTGTGTGTTACTGTCCAGCCGCTCAGTTAGCAGTTTAAATAAAAACAAACTTAGAAACAGCATGAACACATGTGCTGCATCCCAATTCGCCTACTTATACTATGCCCTAAAAGTATGTACTCTTTTTTGAGAAGAAAAAGTAGAAGAAGAATAGTAGGCAAGCTTTGGGACATACTACTTCGTCATAGCTTCTTCTGTAACGGACGCTCTGTTGCTTAGTTACGTGCATTCTGTCACTGTTTAAACTGCCCTGTCAATCATCTTATCACAGTTAACACCATCCACATTTTGTTTAATTTGATTTCCTACCGTATTGGAGAGAAATGAAGAGGCACGTTGATCTGGTAGTCATACTCACATTCATGCTGTTGATCTGTGATTGGACTGCAGACTAGAGGTCTATACTTTTACCGTTTAAAATATAGCCCCGAACCCGTACGGATCCAGGGTCGGGTCCCGGGTCCTCGGGTCCTCGGGTCTCGGGTCCTCCGTGTAGACCTCTACTGCAGACCACCACATGACTGATATTCAGAACAACAGAATAATTGTGTGTCATATTGTTTTTATACAACAGTTCAATAAACTCAGTAAACAATTTTTCACAATCAGCCAGTAAATCTGTGTTCACTCGTGATGGCTGATCACTGAGCTGAGCTTAATTAAGTTGGCTTGAGCAAGCCAAGTTACTGAAATCTGACTTAAACTTACAGTTATTAAGTTGGCTTGAAAAAGCCAACTTACTGATCTACAATATAAACTTATTGTTCATCTTCTTCTGAGCCAAATTTTAGTCTGTATCTCCTCCTAGAGCTTTAAAGCTACAACCACCAAACTCGGCTCAGACCTTCAGACTAGAACAGTCAGAACGACTTGAGTTGCTATATCTTTTCTAACGGATCCGACTTACGATTTTCCTAAAAATGACGATCAAAACTAAGAAAAACTCCAACTGTCAAAAATTCAAATGTAAACACACTGAAGCCCATTAGACTCAATGAAGCTGCCATTCTATGTACTATTTCTAATACCTACGCTCACTCACTCACTCACTCACTCTCACACACTCACACGCACTCACTCATACTCACACACACTCACTCACTCTCACTCACTCACTCACTCACACACACACACACTCACACTCACTCTCACTCAATCACTCACTCACACACACACTCACTCACTCACACACACACACTCACTCACACTCACTCTCACTCACTCACACACACACACACACACACACACTCACACACACTCACTCTCACTCACACACACACACACACACACACACTCACACACACTCACTCTCACTCACACACACACACACACACACACACTCACACACACTCACTCTCACTCACACACACACACACACACACACACTCACACACACTCACTCTCACTCACACACACACACACACACACACACTCACACACACTCACTCTCACTCACACACACACACACACACACACACACTCTCACTCACTCACTCACTCACTCTCGCCGTAGGTCGAGGCATCTACCACATATTCCACAGATCGATTCAAGTTACGGGCACAAATAAAAGCCTAACGGTGTGTGTGTTTGTGTTTGTTGAGTTTCTGATATATTAATTTACCCATTAAACTGTGCAATTTAATACCAGTACGAATATCAATATGATGTAATATAAGAATAATGTACTCATATGAATTGCATATGACAAATATAGAATTTTTCTGAAATAATTTGTATTCTTTATATTACTTATATGACTGGGCATCTAAAATGTAAGTGAATAAGTCCGAATTAAAACTTATTCATAAAGTAAGATCTGGGGGATCGAACATTTCGACACGCAAAGTGAATCGCGCACGTGACTGGACAGAAAGTGAAGCTTC